CCAGCTGGGGCAGAGCCAGGCCCCTTGGGGAGCCCCCAGACAGGGATCTGGACAAAGGGCCTCTGAGGAGACCCTCTCCCCTGGCCCAGCACCACTGCTGAGGAGCCGCTAGTAGAAACTGCAGCCCTTGGGGAGAGGCCCTTCGTGTCCTTGCCCAGACCCTGTTCCTGGCTTGGGGGCTCCTCCACATGGGGACCCCCACTGGCCTCCCACCTGGAACTGAGGGAGTGGCTTCTGGGGAGTATGCTGCTGGGCCTCACCCTCCTTGGGTAGTGGGGCGATGCCACCCCAGGCATCCACGGGACTCCTCATCCCCTGGCCCTGGGGCTCGGGGGCCTCTGGGTGAGATGGGGTGGGGTGTGAAGCCCAGAATGAAGGGTGTGAAGATGCTTCAGCCTGAGCCAGAAAACAGCCAAGACAGCCCCGCACAGCCCTGTAGCTGGCCTGGCACCTTTCTCGGTGTGTCCATGGGTGTCACTGGGCAGGAGCACCGGTGGCCCAGGCAGGGAGGACCTCGGGGGCTGTTCACGTCTAGGCAGAGGACAGGCTGGGCTGGTCCTCCTTCCCTTCTGCCTGGCCAGGAGTGAGGGGAGGGGTAGGAGGGCCCACACCTGTGCAGAGGCTCCTGGGCTCCAGCTGTCATGGGTCCAGTCCTGGGAGGGGCCACAGTGGGTGCACCTTGGCCAAGCTGACTCAGGGCTCCAGGGGGTGGGCCACCTGTTCCCCCAGCAGGATCAGGCCCAGGACAGGAGTTCCTGAGCTGTGAGAGTGGGTGTGGCTTGAACACTCATGGGCCATGAGCACTTCTCCCATGTGAGAGCCCAGGACTCAAAAGGGGTGCCTCAGAGCTCCTTTCCCGCTGTGACAAATGTGCCTGGACTGAACCACCCTTGTTGCTTGTGTCTGTGCTGGCAGTCGCCTGTGCTGTAAAGGAGGGGGCGATGTTCCTGGTGTCCTGTGGGCTATTTCTGTCTGTCCCCCCACCCACTGGAGGCATCTCTCACCACTTCTGAGTCCATCTCTGGCCTCCTCAGCTTGTCTTTCTCCATCCCTGTCTTTGAGTTTTCTGGGCCCTGCTGCTGATGGGGTGGGGATAGGGGACCCAGGTCCTGCTCCCCAACTCTGCCAGCTGAGATGCAGGGCTCATGCCAGTTAACACACAGGTGGTTGATGTCAGCATACCTCCAAGAGGCAGGACACGCATAACAGCCGCACACCTTTCCCCCCCACACACACTCAGGCAGCAGACCCCGTGTGTGACACCGAGGCTTACACAGGCACATGAGCAGCCAGGCCCAGGCTTGCTGCACACCGTGTGCACTGAGTGCCATACACACAGTCACCTTCACGGATGGTCACAATCTCAGCACCGCAGCTATGCTCAGAGCCTCACGTGCACACACGCATGTACGTGCTGGCTGACAAGCACGCTCACAGGTGTGTAGTTAGATTCCGTTTCACCCGCATCACAGGGCCTGGACATCTCAGACACCATGCTCCCGCCCTGAGCACATGCTCATGGGAAACTGAGTGTGACTTCCCCCCATTGGGGTGCTCAGGGGTCAGCGGGACCCTAAATATACCATGGGGCGGGGGCTGGGACAGGACAGACCAGGGGGCCACGTGACTCTCCACTTGGCTTAGAAGACCTGCTAGGCCCTGAGGAGCTGGTGCAGGGGAATCAGGTCTGGGGGTGCTAATGGACTTGGTCCCACAGGAGAATCACCCATGAGGGTGATTGTTGCCAACTTTTCCTAAACCTGGGGGCGCTGGACAGGAGCTGGGGCCAAGGAGGCGGTGTGGGAAGGGCCCAGTCCTGGGGGCAGAGGGCCAGTGCCATGCGACTCCAGCGTGGGAGGCTTGAGATGTGAGGCCTGCCCCCTGCTCTGGTGCGGGCAGGTGACCTTGGGGAGCATCATGGTGTGTCATGGTTCTGCCCTCTCTGGAGACACTGGGTTGAAAATGACAGACGGGGCCTCTAGGACGCCATGTCTACATACAGGTGTTAACCCTGCCAGCCTCCTTCCAGGAGGGCGCTGTCTTGGGCAGTCTCTGGGCTTAAAGGAAGTTTAAGGAGGAGATGAGTTTGAGGAGACCTGGGTGAGGGGATTGCTCAGCACAGTCTGACCCTATGAGGCTGGAGTCACCATGGGGCAGGGCAGAAGGGAGATAGAGGGCTGGGAGGATGGGGGGTGCCCACAGCTCCTGCCTTCCCCCCACTCTCTCTGGGGAGTGTCCTCCTGGGAAGGATGGGGAAGTGGGTGCTGTGGGGTCCAAGCTGGGGGTCAGGCTGTGGAGGGAGATTTGGAGGGAAGTGCATGTCCAGGGCCCGTCCTCCCCGGCTACCACGGACAAGGTGGTGCTCAGGGCAAGGATGAGGCACTTCACTGTGGCTTCACCCGGCCCAGGGGGACCAGCGCCAGGCTCCTCCTGTACAGCAAACATTGTCGCTCCTACTTAAAAAGCCCTGCTACATGGATGCGTTGATCACTGAAACCCCTTGGAAGAAAAGGTTTAAAAGTTTAATTAAAATTTAAATATAATGTATTATGTATATAAAAAAGGCAAGGTAGAAAATACAGCCTGATTCTAGAAAACACTGCAGGAGAAGGATTAGGCGCTTGAAAACAACCCTGGCAGGGCCAGCCCACAGGTTCTCGGCCGGCGCGTCCTGGGAAAGCCTGTACAAGTGGGACCCACCCTTGCAGGGCCCGCGGGCCGGGGCCAGGCTCGAGCTTTGTG